GGCTGCAATTGGACCTGGACAGGTTACAGGGGTGGGCGGATGAGAACAAGATGGGATTCAGTACTGACAAGTTCAGGATACTGCACCTAGGGAGAAAGAACCAGCAGCATACCTACAGGCTGGGGAACTCCCTTCTCATCAGCACAGAGGCAGAAAAGGATCTTCGAGTCACTGGCGGCCCATGTTCATCTTGGAGTCTATAATGTGGGGACGCAGTCAGGAAGGCTAACTGCACCTTGTCATGCATCCACAGATGCATCACTAACAGGTCCAAGGAGGTGATCCTCCCCCTCTATGCGGCACTGGTCAGGCCGCAGCTGGAGTACTGCGTCCAGTTCTGGGCACCACACTTCAGGAGGGATGTGGACAACATGGAGAGGGTCCAGAGGAGGGCCACTCTCATGATCGGGGGCAGCAGGGCAGGCCCCTGTGAGGAGAGGCTACGAGACCTGAACCTGTTCAGCCTCCACAAGAGAAGGCTGAGAGGGGATCTGGTGGCTGTCTGTAAACTGGCCAAGGGAGACCAGCAGGCAATGGGGAGTCCCTGTTCCCCTGAGCACTACTGGGAGTAACAAGGAATAACGGCCGTAAGTTGACAGAGAGTAGATTCAGACTCGATATCAGGAGGCACTACTTCACTGTCAGGGCAGGTAGGAGCTGGAACTAACCTCCAAGGGAAGTCATGCTCACTCCTACCCTGGGGGTCTTTAAAAGGAGGCTAGATAGACACCTTGCCAGGGTTGTTTGACCCCAGTACTCTTTCTTGTCATGGCAGGGGGTCGGACTTGATGATCTGCTCAGGCCCCTTCCGACACTGCCAACTATGAAGCCCCCTTTCCCCCTGCCTGCATAGGACCCCAGCCAGGATTTAAATCCCCTCCTCCCAGCCTCAGCTGGCACCTGACCACCACCCTGCCCCTCTGCTTAAACAGGGAGCAAGGGAAAAGCCAGGCAGGAGCTGCTTTGCCCCTGCCAGGGTGACCCCGACTATGGTCCTGTGCAGGCAGGGGAGAGGGGGCGGTTTAAACCCACCTCCCTGGTTCTGGATCTGAGCCAGGGTTTGCCCTAGAAGGGAGGCAGCGCCTGCCATATTTCTGCCCCCCCGCCAGCTCAAGGGAGGAGAGGGCAACCCTTGCCAGGGTTTTCTCCCTCACTTGAGAAGAGAGCAGGGGGCATGGTCATGCCCCGGCCCGGGTTGGCATGCTATGGCAGGGAGCCAGGGCGTTTAAATCCCCCTCCCACCCCACCTGAACATGCAAGCCTTGGGCCAGGGTGTGGCCATGCCCCCCACTGCTAGAACAAGTAGTGCAGGAGGGCAAAAGCTTGGCAGGGGCTGTCCTCCCACCCCCCAGACAAACCCTGCCTGGAGTCTGGGGCCAGGGAGGGGCTTTAAACCTCCTCCCTCCCCCACCTCAGCCTGCAAGCCTCCAGCTTGGGCATGTGCATGCCTCCTGCTCTCCACTCGAGCAGGAGGAGGGGTCCTGGCAGGGGCTGCCCCCCTACCCTGCAAAAGCAGACACAGTCTGCAGTCCTGTGCAGCCACAGAGGGCCTCCCAGCCTCAGCCTGTGAGTCCTTGGCTGGAGCATGGTCATGCCCACCCTGCCCTGCTCTCTGCCTTAGGTGGGGGCAAAACCTTGGCAGGGACTGCCCCCCCTCCCCAAGCAGGGGACAGAAGCCAGTCTAGCACCCCCACCTTCTGGCCTGAGCCACTGCAGTCATGTGGATGCATTTCCGGAATCAGAAGTGAATGTCTGTTTGCTCGTTTCTTGGTTCAGTCTATGCAGTTTCCACTAACCTGCAAAGACTGAATTGATTCAGCCTCAGGCATTTTGACTGTCTGTACTTAGCCGCTCTGAGTGATTTACCTAAGGTCCATTCCCAAAAGAAGGAATGGGCTCTTAAGTCTTTGAAGCCTCAGATTCACACCCACCCAGGGCACCATCTTCTGTTCCAAATCTACCCTAATTCTATCTGTACTGGTTTTACTGGGGACTAACAAAACTTGCACCTTCTCAAAAATGTGACAGCTGTCAATTATACTGATAGGCACTGTGGTTAAAAGTACTGTAGAGTCTGTACTACTGGCTGCCACTGGAGGACTCTTAGAAGGGGAGGGGAAATGAATGATGCTGTCTCAGGTCTTGGAGGATGCAGTACACTTGGCTGCCCCACATTTCCCATCTCTCTGGAGGATGTAGACTGCCGGCAAAAGAGGAGCAAGGTACAAAGCAGGGAATATAGTTTTGTGTAAGGCTTTCTGCAACTCCATGGTCTCTTCCTGCTGCTCCTGAACTGATAGTGGTGGTGATGGTGGTGGGTGGGGGTGATAGTCCTGAGCTCATGGTAATGGGTGGCAGGTGAACAAAAGGTCCGTTCCCAGACATGTTGGTTTGTTTGGGGTTGCGTTTTTTGGGGGCGGGGGCATTGAAATGGAAAGCACTGCGCGTGTGTTATGGAAGTTTGAGACCGTGGGGAATTGTCTTGAGACGTGGACAGGGGAGGCTGGAAGCAGAAGGTCAGCTAAATTTCTGTGGGGGACCAGGTTAGATTGGAGGAGAAAAGAAGCATGGGGTGTTTCTGAGTTGAGAGGGATTTGTATCTATTCTGCCTTCTGCCTGACTTCAGAAACAATAAAATCATGTTATGAATGAGGGGAGGGGTGACATGGTAGGGAGTGTGGGGAATGGAGACGCAGTTGGGGGATGATAGGATAGTGCTGGCAGGAGGGAGGAAGATTAGGAGGCTGAAAGAAACTTTCTTCTCCCACCTGCCCTCACTCTTTCGCTCTCAAAAGAAGGTGCTTGCTATGGAAAAAAAACAGCCTTTCTCCCCAGCAGTTCCCTGCCAGTCCTCTTTCCCCAGCAAAAGATTTCCTTATAACACATATCCCTCCTCCTACCTCAGCTTTTCACTTTCAGGTGTGAATAACCTTCACGGAAAGCAGAAAACTGGCAGTCTCTGCCCATGTTGGGCATCACTTATCACTGGGTCTTGTCCAGTGTAAATCTCCACTGAATCTGTGGGAGCTACTCCTGATTAAAAGCAGTGAAAGCAGGATCAGAATAAGACTCGTGGTTTAAAGCTTTTGAATTTTTCTCCTATGCTGTTTTTCTCTGTCTACATGTCAGTCTCTGACAAGTGTTGGTTTCCACCTGGCTACCAGTTGCAATGGCAGAGAAAGGGTTAATGCTGACACCAAGCCTAAAGACTCACAATAATAACAGGAAAAGCACATTTCTTCCTAGCACCTGTGAGCTCTCCAGTGGGTATTCTATTGTTTATGGAAGTCGCGCTGGATCTTTTTCTCTTCAGAGGTTGAATGGCTGTAGGAGCCAGCTGTTCTGTTTTCTGTGCTCGTACCTTTAATGTATTCTTCACACAGTCCCAGGGGTTAGTGTTCTAGAAACAATTAGGAATAGAGAAATCATTTAAGTTGACCTGAACTGACCTCAGATCCTGTTATTAAAGTATGTAGCAAAACAGCTTCTATCACATACAAGAAACGGATTTTGCTAGTTTTTTCCATTATTTTGTCTAGCATGTCTGTTCTGGCTTATACTGAGCTTTTGTTCTACTCTTCTAGCAGAGGATGGTATGTGGATGGTATGTGGATCCTTCTTTCTATGACCACACTCTTAAAGTATATACTGGAAAAGTGTTTTATTTCTCTGTTAAGGGTGGCATGATATTGCAAGTACAGAGTGGGGCTAGGGTGGTTATTCTTGGGGTGAGGGAGAGGGAGGTTATAGACTCTGCTGTAGTCTCCTAGCAGACTCTAATGCCAGAAGCTAGTATTTTCAGACTTCTGGGAGACAACTGAACAGTCACTATTGTAACATACTAGTTAAGCATGTTCTCCACAATGGCATCTCCAGACACTTGACAAGGGATGCCTTGAGCATGGTGCTGGATTAGATGACTTCATGAACACCCTTCCAGCCCTATTTTTCTATGATCCTATACAGAGAGCTTACTACTGCTAACAGTGAATAGAGTTCCTCCTCTAACTCAATGTAGACACGCTTTATAAAGATCATCACATAGGACAGAACCAGGATTTTATTCACAGAAACACAGGGCTGTATCACATCAGTAAAAGATGCAGTTTCATTAGTAACTAGCAACAGTAGCCTGTAATCTTTATTATAGACCTGCTGCCCCAAGAGACCTGTAACACTTGGCCAGTATGGTCCGAGGCCAAGAGAAGTTTCGTCCTGAACTGCACACTGATCCCATTTGCCTGGGAAATCACTGAGAAATAACAAAAACAGTACCCCAGGACCAGTGTTACAGAATCATTTTACAGAGTTCAGGTGTAGCCTATTTGCAGCCTTTGATTTGTAGTAAATCTGATTGCAGATTTTAACAGGCTGCCTAGGTAAAAAGAAAAAAAATCTCCAGAAATACCAACGTGTAGAGTCTCTAAACAAAGGCGGCTAATTTAGGCACTCCTGGATATTAGTAGTGCTTTTCATGTAGGGACATAAGGATTTTGCATTGGTATCATGCCTTACTGTTCCCATTGTTCCTGTGCTTAGCTGGAATATTCAGGGTTCCAAGAGGGAGCCCGTCCTGTCCTGCGATGTAATCCTTCCCTTCCAGCTTGGGAAGGACCTGGCATTAAGCACAACTCCACAAGATCAGAGTAAAAACTACTTTCAGAAATAACACTAGTCTGAATCATGTTTATCTCCAGCACAGAGATTTCTCAAGATTGCTTATCAAATCTGAAAGCTGTAATGATCACCAATTTTTTTCAGTCAAATAGACTGACTCAGCAGCAGCACTGCATCTGTTTCTTAAGCTGAGTAAATGTAGATATATTATCTAGGGAAGGTCAACACATGATTCATCAGCATCTGCATGCACTTCAGTGTTATGCATTTTATTATAAGGGCGGAGGATTGAGACCAAAGGATGAAAGTCTGGGTTCAGCAGCTTGCAGATTGACCAAAGATGTCTTTTCTCATTAGAGCAGCCTTCTGTTTCCTCTTTTCAGTGATGGATCCTGCTGGAGAGGGGTTTCCAATGGCACAGCTCTGATTGAAACCAGTGCAACATGTTCAGTGTCGAGGACCTCCTAATTTCTCATGGATACAAACTGACAAAAAACCCTCCTGCTTCCTATGAGAACAGATACGATGGATACCGTCATGAAATTGTAGAGAACAGATCTGCTCATGGAACAGTGAATGGATTTCAGAGAGAACCTGGAGCCTGCACTTACAGCAAGAAACTGGTGGCCAAAGGTAACTTCTGCGACAATGAAAGCTATCACAGGAACCAAGGGAGACCGGCGGGTCCTGGCTACCGCCATGACTTCAAGGGTTTGTCCACTTTTCCTACTTCAGAAGGGGGGTAAGTTTCAGTGTCATGCCATGGCTTTCCTATCCTTCTGATTCTGTCAGATGACTAAGCATGAATTCAACCCATATTACTGTCTGCCCATAACTTCTATTTCCATGCCTCTGAGAGTCTCATCTCACTGTGATTTCACTCAATCACATGCATGTGCCTTTTGCTAGTTGTAGCAAGTGGGGAGGAAAGGAGAAAGAGGGAACAGTTTCATTTATCAGTAGCACACTTTAAAAACAAGGGTGGGCAGCAAGAAAAGCCCAGGATTAAAACAGAGCAAAAGAGGACAAATCTTTGCCTCTGGAAATGCATGGTTTTAAAACTGAACCCAGCTCCTTATTTCACACATGTGCAGTAAGTCCTGGTGGGCATCCAGCTGCGTGTTGCTATCTCTGTGGGTGTTCTTACACAAAAGAGATCTTTATTTTAGGCAGTTCTCCTGGAGCAAACATGAGAAGGTGCCTGTATGTTCCTAGTTAAAGCAGTCCAAACCCAGTGGAAACCTTTGTCATCACTTCATAAAACATGCTTGCACAGCCGCACATCCCTTAGCAGAGAATATGTGCACTTTAGCGCTGGAATAAAATGGACAGGAAGGACTCTGTGTATACACAGTGCATATTGTGTAATCATATTTTTGCAGTAATTTGTATACTAAAAAGGAACAAAGGGGAGGGGCTGGGGCAGTAGACCAGCTGGCTAAATATACCAGTGTTTATCAGAAAGAGACCCCTTTCCCCTGTATAAGGGATCTTGAAACTGTTACAGTCCTGAGTTAGTAAATGGGGCCCTGTCATAGTTTTGATGCAGTGTGGGGACAGTCTCCTCCTCTGCTGACCACCTGCACCTTCAATAATGTGGCACAGCCATGCCTCACCCTGGCTGCTAGGCCATTCTGCCATTTCCCTCCACATCTCCTTCCAGTTCAGCTGCCCACAAACTGGTTGGCCACAACCAACTAAGATTGCTGAAAAGAGCAAATTCATGGTATGTGCAATATTAAGGAAGCAAGTCCTGTCCTGGGAATGTAAAGGATTTCTGGTCCAGATGGGGCTAAGGTGGTGAGGATCCCCAAGTTTGTTTGGCCTCTTGGAAGTGAGGAGACCTGGAGGGGAAAGAAGGATGGCCTTTAAAAAATGATAGCCAGGAGCTACATGAGATGCTATTCAAAGTGAGCCTTTGCTCAGCTGGAGCTCAGTTGCTAGCAGTCAGCAGTGAAATGAAAAGAGAAGTTAGAGAGGTAACAAAATAAATGTAGACCCAGGAGGAGGATGACAGCATGAACAGAAGGGAAAATGAGAACTGTGTTTGGACTTGTAGCAGGATTCACAAAGGAAAGGAAAAAAACTGAGCTGAATACATGGAGGGCATATCAGCATTACAAGAACTGCTGTATGACAGCTCACCTGTCTGCCCCATTTGAGGTATGAATAGATTGGCTGTTATTGCTGCTGTAAAAGGGAAAGTATGGAGCTCAAATTGTAGTTATTCTTTTTAAAAGTCCTTGACTGGGTTTGACTCTGTCTCTCTCCCTAACCCCCTATAATATGAGGGGCAATGAGATAGAACTGTCAAGTTTACACTCCACTATTCATTCTGGTTTTTTAAATTCCCTTTTTTATTTAAAATAGGGAACAAACTGTTGTGCTTGAAATGCCAAATTTATCTTATTTTCCAGAAAAAAAAATTAAACAACTGTGTTTTACATAGTGAATCCTAAGACACAGTTGCCCTATCACAGGAAAGCTTCCAAGTCATTAGCATTCATCGGCATGGAAAAGCGTTTGTTTTAAGCTCTCATATTTTGTCTTTCTTGTAACATCCAATGCATTTCTGCTGCATCCAGGGAGCAATTTTGAAGCCTGTGGTATAATTACACCATGAGAGGAATGAAGTACTTGCACTCTCCTTTTAAAATGGGAACATTCAAACAATTTTAGAGACCAGTTTTATTTATTTATTTATTTTCCAACTACTGATCTGATTGACTAGGGTAGCTCATTAGGCTAGTAGCTAACAAATACTTAATCTCTCCCACCTTTTTATTGAACAACCTGTATCTCTTCTTTCCAGCATTTCTCCATCTCCTGCTCTGGAAAACATTTGATGGGCTCCTCTCTATGTGTGTGCCCTCTGATCTGTACCTTAGAAGTAGGCCTGTGTAAAGCGGCAAGTATTTGCTTTGCATTTGGCCAATTTGGAGGGACAGTGATTCGATTCAGAGATTCGAATCACTGTCCCGATTCGATCCGGCCGAATCAGATCTGAAGAGTTGGCACCGCTTCA